TGATGGTCCTCGATCCCAGTCATGCTCAAAGGCCTCTCCTTGCGGTATGAACCCCGACCGTACTTCAACCTGGCGACCGAATCCTTTTCGAACTGCTCCCGAGGGTTGGTGTAAGAGTAAGCATCGTAGTCATCAATGTCTTCTCCCTTGCGGAAGCCTCCAGGAGCTGGATAGCGCGATCGGTGACCGTGGCCGTGAACTCGGTAGGCTCCATGGCCCGTTCGAGATCTCGTTCTTCCGGCATGAGGCTCGAGTCGGCCAGTATCACTTGCATAATCCGTAGGATACTGCCGGCTGTGATGCCGACCGTGATGTGACGAGGATGCAGGAACAATATACCGTTCATGGCCCGGGAGAGGACTCGGAGACCGGCGATAGCTCGTTGTGATCACAGGAGAATGTCTATTCCCGGATGACGGAACATCGAGTCGGACAGGAGCATGGTGGATCTCGGCAGCGGAAGTGGTACTGCTCCGTTGTCTCGGACGGATAGCATACTCGGTCCTCAGCTTGGTGGAGTGACCAGGGTCCCGGTATGTTGTCGAGGAAATCGGTTGAACCTCGAGTCTCGGTTCGTGCGACACACGAGGGTTGTATGGAGTGCTGAAGGGGGTCACTAATGGGAGATCGGAAGGGTAGGCTGGGTATCCCGGATGGCCCATGGAGGATTCGAAGTGACTATATGAGGAGCTGAGAGGCACTGTTCCGGTCGAGGCGCGCATGGGGTCAACCATGCGGTGGCCGCTCGGAGATACGGGCCGGTAGCGCACTGAAGAGTTCATGACTCTTTTTAAAAAGGGGTGTTTATCTTTCGATTCGGATGCCACAATCGAAGAAGCCGCAGATAAGCCGTTGATAATATGTATCTGAAATAAAAGAAGAGCGTGCGACGAAAATTTGTTGGTGATGGTGTGGATGAAACCACCCGCGATCAGGAGCAGGAAGGAGAAAGAAAGGCTGAGGAGGAGCTCGAAAGTAAAAGGAAAGTGGATGCAGAAAATGTGGGGAATAGGGCCCGAAGAAGGCCAGGGAAGCTGGTTCGACAATCTTCTAATTGAAAAGGAAAAATCTCGGGCACCAGGCCAGAATGATAACGCAGGCCGAGACCTGAAGACGATGGACTGGAGCTGGTGATGAGGATGGCAACAACGAGGATGATGATGATGATGATGAAGGCGGCGGCGGAGGGGCAAAAAGCAAAAAATAGGAATGGGTCACGGAAAAGGTCAAAAGGCAAGTAGCTGGACTCTTAGACTCGAGGCTAAAAGAGGCTGTGTGGGGATTCGGGGAATCGTTGGGCAAGCACCAAAGTACGTATGCACTAGGTACTATGCACTATGGAAATATGCAAGGGAGATTCTCGCCTGAAGGAGGAATGTAGCTGTCTATTTGTATGTGCAGATGGAAAGGCTTGAAGGCAAAGCAAATGAAGGGGAAATCCGAGGACTGTGGATAGCATCGAAAGTACCCCTCCATTTATGAAGACGAAGAGAGTCGATAGCAATAACTTGATACAACGTTGTCTGTATGGAGCAGTTTAAACGATTGCTGTTTCAACTCGCAGTATCTCCATTATTTTATAGTAGCAGTGCCTTGAGCAGTACTCCATAGTGCATCCATAACTATCCATCTTGGTACTATCTACGAGAGATATCTACTCTGTACTGCTATGAAAGATGAATTATTAATTCTCTTTCGCAACGATGTGGCGCAAAAGGTGGGGATATCCTTCACTACTTTAGATTCTGCTCCTCATCTTCATCCAATAAGAGGAAGCAATTGTGGATGTGGATGATGTCAGGTATCTATCCAATGTCTATCTGATGGTCAAGAGGTTGTATGCCCAACTGTTTTCATATATCTAGACACCCATGTAGTAGAATGTCTGTAGTTCCTAGTGCTCTTATGCTACCATGGATGCTGTCGCGCTGGAAATCGGGAGGCGGATATGTCTTCCATGGATCATGTGGTACGCAGATACCTGAGGTACCAGGTATCTCGGCTACAGTCTACTATCTACAACGACCTTACCTTAGGTTCTCCGCAACTCAATTCCTTCCACTTGACCATTCAAATCAACGATGATACTATCCGAAGATTGTCGTCATATTATTATCCCCTCTATCTCTTTGATACGGCCCGACTGACCCTTTCTGAGTCTACTGTAATTTCATTCAGCCTGCGAAGGAGTCTTTGATACTCCACTGTCCTCCACTTGTGATACGCGCCAGCTTCAATACTGCTTGATTCTACGGAGGACTCCATAAGCCGTTCAAAACCACTATCTCTAGCTTCCAGAGTTATCTTTGGGGATTGGTAATGTTTCCCGGTGAGAGTTTCTGAATGCAACCTTCTAGAGTTCACGTTTTCAACACAAGGCGAATTCCCACCCAATTGCCCTGGCGAATTACCCAGTAAGTGTCCACTAAAGCACTAGTTACTGTATCCACCCGCGATCCCTCGAATTGGGCACACGACGATGACCTCATCCGATCCGACGGTCTCACACTTTCTCCCGTCCATCCTCCCTTCTAGAAAACCATAACCCAACGACCTCACACCACATTGGCTACAATCGCGACCGAGGTCACAAAAGTGGAGAATATTTCTTACAGAACACAGGCTAGGCAGTCAAGCTACTATGTTTTGCTTTTGACGAGACGACGACACCATCTACGGTCCAGCGGATGGGTCCAGAGCCAAGCCCCGGGGCAACTGGGCGCTTTTGCAGCTTTGCCCCATTGCCGATGCCCTCGTCAGTCAATCAGAACGCTTCAAAGTTAGCAGCTTCACTCTTTTCCCATCACTGCCATAATGGCCATCGGTAGGTAGATGGATACTAATCGGATCACCAGACCCCTTGAAACTGACGATCAATCATCGACTGCGGCTGTTACTTGTGTCTGATCGTGGCGGTCGGTACCCCATACGAGGATAACATTCTCCGCTCCATCGACTCAGCCAATCTTTCCAACTCTTCATTGGACGGTAAGAGGAACAAAAATTGAGGCATTTTTCTGCTCTTCAGTATCACTATAATGACCAAGTCTCAAGGACTGCGGACCGACCCGGTTTCAGGTTCTTTTGATCGTTTCGCCAGGAAGTGTCAAACGAGTCGGTGTTTTGTTGCGGCCGTGATCTTCCTCAATTATGAGCTTTACTGGCGCCGCAGTGGACCACAGGAGGATTGGAAAGTGAAAACACCTTGGAGAATCTGTGACCTCAATCTCAAGGCACTGGCAACAAGATCCTACAGCTTGGGATGTTATTCCGCGTGCCGCGAAACTACTAGTCTCGTTTCTGTTGCTCGGGCTATCTTCCTTCAACATCTTACCGAGGACTGGCACTGGTAAGTGGCTATTCATACCCCTTGCGCGCTTCAAGTCTCGCTCGACGTGGTACATCAGAGCTGCGAGGGTATTTCGAAGAATTCAACCTTTACCGTAGAGGACCTCTCTAAGCAACTTCACCTGCTATCGCTGAGGAGTTTAAAGATCCATATGATCGATCGCGCTCTCCAACATGAGCCTTTGCTTAGCCACAATGCCCTCTCAAGGGCACCCATAACAGGGCACGACCCTTCTGCTCTGTATGAACTCTGCATGAACCTTTCGATATTATACGTCGAAGGTACCGCCTCCTGATGCCTGATTTGCCCTTATCCAAGCTGTGACCTTATTCAAGCCACCATCCGCCCCCTCGGAGCGTACTCAATGTGACCTGGTGCAATAGCTACCTGTCCCAGGTCCTTGATGAACAGTTTGCGACAGGACAGTAATAACTGAACTGTCAACCCATGAGTCGTTCTCACACCCGTTGGGCATGCATTGCCTGGCCACAGACGCAAGCCACAGCCGGTGACACATCAGAAGCTACTTCATTCTCTTCTTTGCCCTACCTTGCGGATCGCTTCACCGATGCAGGCATTTGTGGCTCATTGCTTTCGGCCCGGGTGTTGTCCCTCAAGGCAATCAAGATGGCCTTCATAGACGAGCCTTTCAGCCTGCATGAAGAGCATATAAAATTGAGATCATGGTAGGTAGAGCCCATCCCTTTCACTGTTCGTTTCTGTGCTTCATCGTGACCGCGGTCGAGTCTCTCGATACCAGCGCATGCCCTCTCTGCGAGACAAACTTGCTACACCCTTATCAACCATTCGACTTGTGTACAACACCACTCCAAGGTCCCTAGCTAGTTAGAAAATGTCTTCTCCACTTCGTTCGCCCCTCCTCGTTGCTGCTCTCCCCTCCCACACCCAGTGCCCAGAATCTGCAAACTACACAACCCCTCTACATCCCGCCCGACGAACCCCAAGATCATCGTTGCGAATCCTACAGCGGCGCAGCTACAGTCATTTCTCTGGCCGGATACCAAACCCCCATCCCAGATCTCAGTATGCACATGCGCCCAAATTCCTCTCAATGCACCAGCTTGCCCGACCCCCCATGACCGGCTGGTGGGTTTGCTGCGCATGCGGCGGAGACAATAATCCCGACCTAAGCTCGGGCCGGTGCACTCTCTGCGGCCATATCATGTGCTCCGGCTGCCGTCTGTATTGAGCCGCTTGGGTAATTGGCATATTCGCTCACAACGGGAATTTTTTTTCTCTGCACATGTCTCGAGATAACCTCTGTCTATCGGTTTTGCGCCTGCTCGACTGTATTACTAGCTTGTTGACTGCTTTTACTTCTTTATTCAGCGATTATCTTCGACGGTAGACCTCTTCTGTATCTAATTTCAGTGGCGTTGTTTCTTCCTTGTTGCTCTTTGTGCCTTGTTTACCTTTCCTTTTCTTTGACGTCACGGATAGATAGCCTTTGTGGGCCAATGTTTTGAACAATATTGATACTCTATAGTGTGCCACTTGATCATCTCATGCAAAAGTATCCTGAGACCTAAGTATATCCAGGAACTTGGGGCTAAAGCTGTATCAATACAGGAGCCACAGGAAAGTCAGGCATCCCCATTAGGATGAAGGACAAAAGTGATAATTAATTAGTTCAATTACGCCGTCTATGCTTTCCTCGTCTTTGTTCATGGTGTGGTATCTCCTCGGCACCCGCAAGGTCCGCCGGCTCGGACTCTGTGGGGGTTTCTAACCCAGCCTCTTTCTTCAACCTTGTCACAACGGGCCCGAGGGCAAAGGCGCTCTCGTGACTACTGTGGTCCGCACAAGGACTTTGCTTGATAGGGAGAAGCCACTCGAGCAAAGAGAATCCCATTACCTGCTGTATATTCTTCAGCGGACTTCCAAGGTCAAATGGATTTTCTCCCGGCAAGGTCTGTAGGATCGCGAACACATGCTGTTCTCCGACTGGGAATTCCCGCGCGACTTCTGACTCAGCTGAAGGAAGAGGCGGGAGAGGGTATGTGATTGTACGGAAGGTTGGTGCCCAGTTTTTACTGAGGATGTGCCTGGGCACGCGTATTGCCAAGGTCCACACTGCCGAGCGGCGGTTGAGGTTCTCAATCGTTGTCAGATTATACGCGGCAAGTTGCACAGAGCTTATGGTCATTCCAAAGGCGAAAAACCCAAAAAGAGAACTCCTAGTGTCTGGTAAGAATGGATATACATGTCGTAGTGAGGAAATGTACTCACAATGCGAGGCAGACAATCCAATGAGCATTGGTTCTTCCGGCCTGTTAATGATGATGCATTAATTGAGAATCCTTCTAGGTCAGCCAGATCATGAACTCACCTCCCGCCTGAGCTCAGCGGTATATATCGCAAAGACGATAAGAACAAATATGCAGTAGAGCATCGTATAAACGATGAATTGGATAAAAAACTTGAACGAGGTCTCCGAGACTACGCCGCCAACCCTTCGGGGCAAGTTAGTCTCCTTGCAAGTGCAAAAGCCCGCAATGCATTCTGACATACCACGGGCAGAAATGATCCATCTTGCGAACACATCGCTCAACCTCTCGACAGTGGTGCGCTCTGTCTGTCTTGAACTGACAGCACGTGGAGCAATACACCGGCCTCCCATCCGGCTGACATACAAAGACATCTTTGGTGTAGAAGCTCTCCAATCCTTCTGCATCCAGAGGGTATGCCTTTGCTCCCGCATTGTACTCAAGTCCTCGTTCAACGTCAACTCGGTCAGATCTATCAGTTTTCTCCGTCGTTTTGGACCGATGATGTCCACTCTTCCTCCTACGATGTCGTCGATGACGGTGCTTTGACCCCTCACTGTCGGCCTGATTCAGAGAACATGCTGTACCCCGCGGCAGATAGCCAGGGTCCAAGACAACGGTATACAGAAGTCGGAGATACGTGACCAATACAGGAATCAGCAGGACGTAATAAACGGCAAGAATAGCGGCGCCAGCGCCGGTCCGAGGCCTTCGATCATAATGGTGGGCAGGATGTATGAGATAGTCGACTGTTATTCAGATTCATATTAGACTGGATTGAGGCTGGTATGATTGGGGTAGAGGATGCTAACCGCATAATGGTTTCGTGATAGCATAACTGGCATAACCAAAGACACCGATCAAGATGGGAGGTATAATTCTGGCAACGGCGAGATTAACGCGCTTATCAGCGGCGCGACGTGCCATTTGAAACTAATTCCAGAATGTTTTGCGATCGCCTGTGCATTGAGGAATGGTGATAAGATAGGAAGACTTGGTAGAGATTTTTGCCAGAAGCACCGGCATCAATCATAAATTGAATCAACTCTCATAAACACAGACAACTAGCCCGTCCGAGTACAGTGTATAAGACCTAGTTGATATTATCTTGTTATGTATGCACTGGATTGGATGGAAGACAAGTCCAGATTTGGATTACGATGATGTTGAGGCAGCCTCAGGAACATAATAATGATCGCCAAGTGCAAACATCATAAACAACAAGACATGACGTAGTCATGTGCTTCCTCCGTGTAAACAAAGGCCAAACTGTGCACTCAGTACAAAGATTCCAGTCTCAAGTACCTTTATTATGCGACACTTAATTCTATGGTTTTACTGCCATATTGTGTCTTGAGAATACAGAGTCCCGGGTCTACCATGATCGACCATATCAGCCCACGTTGCATATCCACTTGATGAACTTGCCCTCGCAGCACCTTGAGCGGAACGGATCGATGTCCTAGCGAGCATTACAGTTCCAGGCATGAATTTTTCTGCCTGTACTTGCAGGTCGTCTCTGTATACGAGCATCGTCACTCTCATGATAAAGCCAAACGCCGGCTTTCATAAGTCTCCGGTCAACCCAGATGGGCTATTGGACTAAGATGTCATTCGTAAATAACTTTCACTAATCGGGAATGAACGTGAGCGCATAATCAGTTGGGACATACGAATTACTCGAGCGATGGCCGACAAGGAATTCGTGGAATCTGGCTGTAGTGGGAATACCTTCAGGAACCGCCGGAACTGGGGCGAAATGTCTCAATCAAATGCATTTGACCTGGGCCAAGCAGGACGCAGTGTAGCAGTACGAAACCATGCTGCTAATAATAATCATAACGAAGACAAAGAATGGAAACGGGAGAGATGATGCGAGGGAGGAGACAGCATAACCATCACCATCTATTTTTATGATCGTTGGCAATGAATCATCCTCTCTCACTCTGCTCCCTTGTCATCTTCCACGTTGAACAGATAGAATATTGATTATTCAACGTCATCAGAGAAGTATCATGTAAGACGCGAAAGGTGATGACTGAATGGTCAAATGATGGCTTAGGCAGCAGGAGCACGTGGAATGCAGCCTTGTTTGTGCTTACTGCTGAGAGGGCCGAAAAGGAACTGACCGACAAATGCTACTTGGGAAACGGCTTTCTGAGTACATTTGGTGAGCAGAACTAACGGTCAGCACCAATGTGAGAGCGCCTTGGGAACTATGACTGTTCTTTTTTTTCCATGACGATTTCCGCGACGAATCATGCAAGGACGAATGCACGAAGGAGCCTCGTGCTGTAGGTAACCAGGCATGGGGGATCGTTGCCTGAATCCGCTGGAACTAACGTGCTGAAAGTGGAGTCGTTCTCGAGAGCCGCTGCCAGTTAGTACGTCGTTTCGGCAGGCAACACACGCGTGGAGTACAAACGGATGACTATCCTAGGAGTCAAGGAAAAGAAAACAAAACGCAAATGGGCCAAGGTATATGCAGACGAAATCCAAAGATTGTCCAATGCTTGGGGTGAAAAGGGCGGAAATCAGAGGGCATTCGGGCAAAGCGACATGTCCAAGCCACTTGCTGATTCCGCCTTTTCCATCATAGACAGTGGACCCTCAAGGAGGGCCTGAGTCAACGCGAGTGCTTATTCTAGCGGTCATTCTTCTCAGATATTCCCATATTGATTCAGAGATGACTTCAATGTCATTCTCGAGATGGCATCTAGGCACTGATGGACCCATTATTCACCCGCCAAGCCACATTCGATCTACTGCCATCCAGGATCCTAATGGCCCCCGTCTCTAACTTCTCTTAGCAAGCGGGTTCAACTAAACTATTCTTCTGGCTTGCTTGCCTGATGATATGCCTGAGGATGAAGGTTGATTCGCTGCAAACCTGGGGCGCATTTTGGACGTCCGGGGCTTTTGCCTGGGAGAAGCCACACTTGTGCCCTTGTGAGCTGCCTTGCTCATTGTTTGACGTGATTCATGTCTTTCTCATCATGTCATTCTTTGTTTTTGTTTTTATTTAAACATGCTCCGATCCCTCATGATGGTCACTCTTTCATTCTTCATCATTCCAAGCAACAAGCATCCTCTATATAACACTGTCTTCAAGACTTTCAAAACTACTATTCGCCTCCTTCGTCAGGATCATTCGCTCAATCGACTCTTCCATCCCAATCATGCCTGGCTCCTGGTTCACTGAAGACATGAACAAGAACCTGAGCATCAACATCAACGACTCCCTGCACGGCTGCCACGACATATCTTCCTACCACGCTGTTACTGCCTCCAACAGAAGGCATCTACACATTAATCGTCAAGCCAGCCTACAGGGCCCCTCAATGTCTTACGAGGATCTCCCGGAGACGTACTTCGCCGGCCGTTCGGGTCGAGCGACAAACATGAACAAAGTCTACAGCCAGACGTACATGTACATCTGCTGCCAGTGCGGCGACGGGCCGAAAGTATACAATGTCCAGCCGAGATGCACAGAGTGCAACCACATTGTGTGCTCCAGTTGCAAGCCTGTCAAGTAGTACCTTTTCTAAAGCAACACCTAGGTAAGATCTTCTGCCGCTGTACCGACACCGAGAAGCCGAGGCTGACACGTTGTGCTTACAGAAATTCAGGATGGCTGAGCCTACCTGCTGTATATTGTATTTGGATTGATTCTCAGTTTGGTTGTCATTGTGAGCGAAGCATTATTATGGACACATCATGAAACATGAAACTTGAAACGAACATGAGCATGGGAGTTTACGGTTAGTTTTGGGAAGGTTTGCATACTTGGACTGGATAGACCTGGAATGTCTTTTGGATACAGTGCGTTTTTGATGATTGTACTACTTTTGATGCCGGGCTACATTGAGCTGAGCTGGTCTCAGCCCATAGTAGCCCTGGCGGAAGCCTGACGGCAGTGGGGTTGTCATTTGATTTGTTCTTTGTTTTTGATACTGTTTATGACCGCAGTTTGAAGTTTAAATTGACTGAGTTTGAGATCTGTGATAATCAATTTGTTCCCTGCCGCCCTGTGATTCCAAGATCTGTAGTTCGGCTAACTGGAATGGACCGGGAAGCCTTGTTGCCTGGGGGTGCCTAGCTGGAGATCGCGTGCCATATTCCATTCTCAAAGTATACTTTGTCCAGAAAATCTGTGACTGGCCACATGGAATCAGAATTCATTATTGGAATCAAATTCTAAGACCTTTTTTTTTAATTGCTTTTTCTTGGAATATCTGCTGTCTGCTCCCTGAAGCACGACGCTAACCGTTTATGTGTATACATGGAGGGTCAGCCACTTCATCATTAGTTGAAAACTGGATAATCCTCGACAAGGTGACTATTATGGACCATTACTAGTTACTAGTTAGTTAGTAGTCTTCGTTATCAAAATATTAATCTTAGTCTTATTATTAATCATATTTTCGAGCCGCAGTCGATCACAGCAAGGATGACATGCATCATTCCCTCCACGGGATTCCACCGCCCTTTCTGTCGGGATCTATATGCACTCAACCCTATTCCCTGCGCAAAACAGCGGTCTCTATCTTACAAATTGCTTCTTCAGCTTAGAAATTCAAATTCAGCCCTGCACGGATACTTCATACTTGAGTTATTCCGACTCGGTGACAAATACGAGGGCAGGCTGTGTTGCGCCCGGACTTGTTCGACACAAGTGCCAAAATCGCGGTCAGGCATTCAAAGTTTACCCGAATCTGCCTTGATCTAATCCTTTTCTTGTTTATGAATTCAAGTCTTGAAGTGGTTTTAGATCCATTGTGTTACCAGCCCGCCCGCGTCCATTATTAGAGGAATTGTTTCAGCTCTGAACCACGATGATGAAACATCCTCTGCCTTAGACCTACGGAGCCTGTCCGAAGAATTTCCATGATCCATATGCAATGACATTCTATTCCACTACATATCCCAACTGTCAGCCCGTACATGAGTAATCACCAGCACCCCCTGCCAGTAGCCACATGGTATCCCCGACCCCCAAGCCAAGATCTATCTACTCCGTACCTTGGGAAATAAAGACTTGAAATCCGCCCCCAATTCAGTTGCATGACTCGAAAGAAGCTATTCTAATCTGAATCCTCAACATCATAAATAGATATCTGCTCTCCCGCCATTACACGAGAATCCTATTCTGGGCTGCCGCTATCCTCCGAAATGGGGTCCAAAAAAAGCGCTGAAGATGACAGCCCCCAACCCTAAAAATGACGTTTGGCGCCGTTGGACAAACTAAGTGATCCTTCAACTGTCTCCTATATTTGATTCTCCATTACGTGAGATGGTTAAATTAAACGCGTGTCATTCAGCGTGATATAGCGCTGAAGAAGTGAGAGCCATACTCTAGTCATACTGCTGACTATTAATAATTTAATATATCCTCCTGCACCAGGTAATGAACACAACAAATAAGTTATTGTTACAAAGTACCTACTAAATTAAGAAAATGGCGCATAACAATATTATCGTTCCATCAGTTGATCTTTCAAAGACTAGGTGCTAACCTACCAACCTATCTTCATGGCCACAGAGAGAAGAACGTCGGGGTCCCAATGCAGAAGCAAACCAAGGCAATCATATGAGTCAGAATCTGCGATATACAATGCATGAATGAGCCTGACGCTCTCAACTATGAGTCAATATCCCAGGTTATACTCGTCCACAAGGCACAAGGGTTTCTATTCAGTTTACTGTACAATTTGGTGTTTAGTAGTTGAATTGCACAGCCCTAAGTATGGAGGATACGGGGGGTCAAATGATCGGGATACGTTCTGGCTGTTCAAGCGCTAAGAGGGCTGTACACGAGTCATGATATTTATCCATGATGACATTCAGAGTCTACTGGCGACACTGGGGTATTGATATCTCATCATCTATCAGACAAGCTCGTTCTCTCCGTGATCTATGCAAACGCCCGTCTGCGCCTTGTTGTGCCCGATAGGCGCTATACACCCGCCTTCACCCTCGGTCGGGATACGGGCGTAGGTGGACACATTGGAAAAATGGGTTGGATACCAAGCTGTACGATTATACCAGAGTCTGATTCGAAAGGAGAATGAATGATTTAATAATTCACTATCGCTATGTATCTCTTACCACCCAATAGTGGCAGCTGTACAGTTTCCATTCCGTCGAGTAGGGAAAGAAATCTGGGACTCGCTGATCAGTCCGCACGATTGCAGTCTCAGTAGCTGATATGGATATTATCCTCATGGCCCGCAGACACTCTGAATCCGCGGCCTTAGTGATGGTCGAACTGGAGGGCGAACTGCTTACGCCCCGCTGCTAGAGAAATATGGTTGAGATCCTACCAAAACTCCATGCTGCTTTTGCGTATACCATTAAGCACAGATCAATAGGGTAAGAATAAGAAAACCCTGTTATGGATGAGACGGCAACACCAATGAGCCCATCCATCTTCAAAGCAGAGTTATAGAAGGTTAAGTGGTGCGTATGCATTAGAACATATGGACGGAGAAAATCTCTGATGACAAACAGAGCGAGCGAGGGTCGGGTATCAGAAAGTCGTACAAGGATATTTTGTTTATGGCGTCAAGAGGCGAAGAATAATTTTTCAGGATGGTCTCACTTGCATTCAGAAGTGTCACGGCTCACCTTGGTAGAGGAAAAGCTTCTTCCATCAGACGAACAAGTACCATGATCCTGCTACAAGGGCAAGACACGTGATGGATCTTGGAGGAAGCGTCTACGGTATGCAGCAATTTCCGTGGCCACGGTATTGAAATCTTTCACCTTGTCGCGCCGCATTTCATTGATGATTTGTTTCAACCCGGCGATATATTGGTCCTTCTCTTCAGGCGTTTTGCCTTMTCGAAGGGATCCCATCTGGACAAGGATCTTGTCATCTGTCGAAATCAACATCACTGTGTGTCAGCATCTCCTCACCTCATTTGAAACAAACTGACAATGCCTTAAAGCTGTGTTCGGGAACTGCAGAAAATAACGAAAGAACGGAAGGAGGGAAAGACCAGGATGGGAAATGAAACGCAATCAGACGACGAAGAACCCGGGGACGATGGGGAGAATTGTGGGGGCAGGCCATGAATCGGATTATGACATGAGGAATGCTGCAATGCTTCTGTCTAAATATGTCGACGCACCGCTAAGAGTCATGTCACGAAAATGCTGGAGGTCGCATGACCGGTCATTGCAGACACCGCCAGTAGCTTCGTAGGGACAGAGATATTTATCAGAATCGATGTTGTGGCTGTATGTTAGGGATCGAAAGCCGCCCGAGACATTTTCAGCGAATCTAGGGTGGTAGCGGTAAGCCTTGAACCATCTCAATGGGCTAATGTAGGGTGTGAATCTGGGAGCTTTCTCCTTCTGGGGTTCATTCTACAAAGCCGTCAGCAGTGCTCCTCCCCGAATAAGAGATAGTCCGCACATTCGAGAGCCCATGCGGGGAGCTGGCTTTTGTTTGAACTTCCAGTTCCTGAACCTTTCCCATTAGCGGCATATCAGCTCTCTCGACCCGAGAAACCTCTGCAGACTTTACGGAAGCAAGAGAAACGGGACTGAAAGGGGGAGTATAGACGGAATCGGCAGGGCTGCTATCCGCTTCGGGCTCTGGTGGCTCGTACGCGTCGGAGATGGAAGATCCGCGAGAGACTTGTTTTTCGAGTTCTTGAACTTCATCCGCATTGGGGGGGAATACATCCCCTGCGTTCTCAGGAGCATGCGGAATGTGCTGCCGTTCCGGAAGAGCGTGGTCAGGAGTTATCTCGTCCTCCACAGTCTTCCGATCTGTGGCTGGGATGCCGCTCAAAGCTTCATGCACACTAGGCTCCGGCGTGGGTGTTTCGCATTCCATGGGCTCTTCGCGATCGGCTGGCACAGAGTCTTCACTGGAATCAGCGGACTCATCCATCGCGGAGCCTATAGATTCTGATGGGGAAGAAGAGGCTGCATCGTTTGCAAGGTCCACAGCATCGCCAGACTCATCCGCGTCCATAGAAAGATCTGAAGTAGCAGAGGGTCCCGCCTCAGATGCTAGACGGGAAACCGGAGATCCTGGAACCGGACATGCCGCTCCTTGACTTCGCGCCTCGGCAGCGGGGACGTCTGGCAACGCGGAGCCATACCTTGCCGCTCTTTGAGGATCTGCATTATGTAAGCTCCAATTTTCACAGCAGTATCCGTGCAAAGTCCGCAATAACAAGAATATAGGACGGGATCGGGGACAGCAGATAAACGTACCTGGGTCTGATGCTTGGACTTGTTCCTTTGCATCCAACGTACGTTGAGCTATTTCCAGCTCTTCTAGAGTGAGACCTTTCAACTCCAGGTTGAGACTATGCAGCTCCTCTAGAAGTCGTTGTCTCCCTTCCTTCCCCTTGGCAATATCACGCAGAAGGTTTTGCTCTTCTACTTTGACTTCAGCAAGCCGGGCTTCAGACTTTTGAATCTCGGCATCCAGAGCGGGAACACCTAATTCAATTTCCTTCTTACGCAACAATTTAGAGCGCATCTCGTCAAGGTGGTCGGCGTCCTTGAGGGCCGAAATCCGCGCGATTGATTCCGATGAAAGATTATCGGGGTTATCTGAATTATTTGCCGGAACTGAAAGAATGGCTTCGGTATCAGCCTCCAAGAGAGCCACTTGAGGAGGTAACTTATGTGCCACAGGCTCCGAGATGACATTGGTAGTTTGATGTCCTTGATCAACTGAAGCTGGGTTGATTGCAGGAGATGAAACCGCTATTTCTGAAGGACGAGGCGATTGTGTGCGACTCGCTGCAAGCTTCGCCTTCTTCCGTTGCTCAAGTTCAGCGATTCGCCGATGCATTGCCTGTATTTCGAGATCCTTCTTCCGAAGGTCTTCTTGATCATGATTTCTGTGATTTTGGGGTGTAACAGAGGCGGATATTCCCTGACTTGACGCAACCGACCGTTGAGGAAGAAAGTCGGCCGATGAAGGAACTGTTCCGGACAAACCTTCAGGACTCACTGAGCCGCCTTCCAGCGATGTCTTCCCGGCGGGCTCGATCTCCATTTCCTCGTTTTCGTCATCTCCATAAAACTCATCATCGCTGATATCAATGATCAGTCTATCCTCTGAAGCATTGTGGTTTACTCCGTTATGGGACCTCTTCGGTGTAAGTGAAGGTTCGTCAAAATCAGATGCTCTTGGACGCTTGCGTTGATTGACATGGGGCTGTGGCGTCGAATCAACAATCAAGCCACGAACGCGTGTAACAGACGGCTCTGATGAGTCTGTCATGAACAGCCCAGGAATACGCGAGGGAGCAGTGGACTCTGGGTCAGGAGGTCTATCAGGCAATGGATGTTGAATCATCGGGGTGTGGGATGCTTGAGAGACGGGGGCGGGGCTGCTTCCGTTGCTTTGCGGTACCTCTTCATGACGCAAAGAATCTATTTGCGCTTTTTGCTGACTTCTCACCAAACCCTGCTTCTTGAGCTGCTCGATTCGCTGTCGGGCTAGTTCAGTTTTCGCCTTATTCTTCTCTCTTGTGCGTATGTCCTTGTCCTTAGCAGGGGTTTCACGCCCGGAACTCGCAGGCGCGCCTTTGCCAACGAGGGCAGACACCGGGCTTTCAGATGATGGCTCTTCTTTTGCAGAGTCAGTCTGAGGGGTTGAAGGCGTTCCGGAAACCTTGGCAGCTTTCGCAGCAAGCATACGCGCAATGACCTCCTTTCTTTCTAATGGTTTGGCAGTGGTGCTGGGCTGGGTAGTTGAGGTAGAAACAGGGGCAGGCGTGTTTGCCGCCGCTGCTGCCACTTGAATTTCAGTTTCTCGTTTAGAGTGATCAAAGGTCACAGGAGCAGGTCCATTCTCAACATTGCTGCTCGAACTCGAGTCAAGAACCGCACCAGTTGGTTTTACTGGCACGTCAACGGGCTTGGTAGGCGGATTGATAGTTGGAGATACACCCTCTAGCTGTGGTGTAGGGACTCTGATTCCAACTTCTTCATAGAGCTGCCTAAGTACAGCCGGGTTGATCCCCTCTCCTACCAACTCACTGTAACGAATGTTGTGGGGTGCTAAGCGTAGAAGCGCGCCTTGTGCTTGAATTCGAAGCTGTGCCACTGATTTCCCGCTTCCGTGCGATGCTGACACATCTTTTGTAAGTGCGAAAGATCTATCTTCGTGGGGTGAAGTGCCAAGAGCACCGTTCGACACAAATGGCTCAGGGTTGACAGAACCTGGAGGATCATACGCTGTCCGAAATTAGTAATCTATCTACCAAAAGTGAGCCCAAGCGACATACGTGACTCAGATTCCCTGGCGGATATGTGTGACCCAGTTGAGGATGCCTCGCCTTCTTCGAGGTCCAAGGTGGACGCGTCGCGACTTTTCGCCGCGGGGCTCCTTCTGGATTCCTTGTTCTCAACCACTGTCGTAGCGTTGTAAGTGCCAGTCGCGTACCCAGTTTGCTGCATCAGAGTTGACGGTCTTGCATCGGCTCGGGTTCCGGACAAGCCTGCGTTCTCTGAGCTCGTCGGCATGGCCACTTCCATATCGGTAAGTTCACCTTCTTCTCGATCATAATCTTTCCGCGTACTCGGTGTTGTGGTGGCTCGAGAGTCAGCACCATTCATGGACATCGAATTTGCTTGCGAACGAAGATCACCCGATGAGGGGCGACTCGGCGCTTGGACGTTGGCTGCAGGAATCGGCAATGGCGGGTATCTCAACGGAGGCATCTGGATGGGTGGGAACGAATGAGGGTGAAACTGTGGCGGCGTGAACGGGCCCATGAAGGGAAAAGGCGGTGGTGGTAGAGGTAATCCGGCTACAGGACCTCCTAAACCAGGAAGATTCGAAGTCATATTGAGGTTGGTCAAGCCGTTATAGTTGAAGGGTTGGTTGCCGTTGTCTTGTGGCTGCTGAGCCGATAAGATATCTTGACTGAAGGGTAGATGGGGAGCAAGTGAAGATGGCATGGAAGTCGACGGAAAAATATGCGAGCGAGGCCATTGCTGGGTGTGAGGCGGACCGCCTATTGAGGGCGCGGGGGGATGCTGCGACATGCTTGGGTAAGAAATCAAGTGAGGCTATTCAACACAAGAGGATTCTGGTAAGATTCTGTATTGTAATGTGTAAGTAAGACGCGAGCTGTGTTAGCTTCACGGGTTCAGGCATCGCACATCATATAGTATGCAGCTTTGCATCAGTGTCAGCAGTCGTGGATCGGAGACACCAAATCTAAGAGCAGAAGACTACTCTTTGTCACATTTCAAACCATAAATGAACATGAGAATAGGGCTATGTCTATGGCTATATCTATTCTCAGACGATCGTGGTGTAAGAGATGGGGAGAGAAACGAGGGTGGACAGAGACGGGAGAAGTGAAGCGCCTTTTGCGAGAATTGAGGATCGAGTTTCGTGCCGCAGAATCCACGTGACTAGTGCACGGACATATCAGGACTAGCGCACGATCTGCTCCGCCGCCTGAGGAACCATAGGATGACGGATGTAAACAAACAGCGGGCCCCATCACAATGCAGATGTGCAGGTACTTTGGGTTCAAGCTGCGTTCACTCATGCCTTACTGAATCTTCGTCTGCATCTCTTTGTTCTCAAGCACACAGGATTTCCTTTTGCCTTGTCTTTATATTATGTTTTGGCTTTTCCTTATCATTGCAGATTAATGACCTTCTTTAGAGGCGATTCCTCATGCTCAGAGCCCTTTTATGACCTTGATTACATTGTCCTTGTCCCGCTCTTTTTACGAATGATGCTCCACTGAATCGACGACAAGATGCTACCTTCTCAGTTGAATGCCTCACCAAAGCGTGCCAACCCATTTGGTCGGTCAACTCCATCTGCTTTGCCATCTACTCCACAGACCAGAAGTCCGCGGCCAAAGTCGGCCATTGTAACGTCACCTTCGAAGTTCGAAGAGGGGAAGGGCCATTTCCGAAACGCGGCGTCTATTTCGCAATTGTCACCGTCCAGTCTCAAACGAACCGTGACCCGGCAGAGATCGAATTCTCTAAGAAATGATGCGACATCGGGGACATTTGCGCCCGAGTTCATCAAGTCAGAAGAACTACGACGAGGGGTGGACGAGATCCGAGGTTTGGAAGGAGACAATGACTTCTCAGGGAACAAATACGTCTGGTTACGTCACCCTGAGAAAGCATTTGTTCGTGGCCTGGTTCTAGAAGAAAGAGAAAATGGGAAATTGTTGGTCCAGAGTGATGATGGAGAGGTATGACAACTGGAAGTCCATCGAGTTCATGAAGAATTTGAAGCTCATCGCCATGGCAGCAACGAGAGGTCGAAGCAGACCAAGTCGATAAGGTCAACCCGGCGAAGTTTGACAAGGCCGATGATATGGCAGAACTCACCCATTTAAATGAGGCATCTGTGGTGCATAACCTGCACTCCCGGTATCAGGCAGATCTGATATATGTGAGTTGTCCCAAATGGTCCCTAAGAAACGAGGCCCTGTGGTCTGATTTAGCCATCGGTAGACCTACTCCGGCTTGTTTTTGGTCACGATTAATCCGTACTGTCCACTGCCGATTTACACAAACGAGTACGTGAAAATGTACAAAGGTCGGAGCAGAGAAGAAACTCGACCTCACATTTTCGCTATGGCTGATGAAGCCTTTCGGAATCTGGTCGAAGAAGGCGAGAACCAAAGCATTCTAGTGACGTACGTTCCTCCTCGAGAAGCTCGTGAGAACTGAAATATCTGACATTGGAGCGTAGCGGTGAATCCGGAGCTGGTAAAACCGAGAATACCAAGAAGGTCATTCAGTACCTTGCAGCAGTGGCGACAACCGATACCCCCTATGCTCGATCAGGATCTAAGCAGCTGTCTACGCTCTCACAGCAGATCTTGAGGGCGAATCCAATACTGGAAGCATTTGGTAATGCCCAAACTGTCCGGAATAATAACTCGTCTCGATTTGGAAAATTTATACGTATTGAATTCACCCGCTCTGGTCAAATTTCCGGTGCATCAATTGACTGGTATCTGCTCGAGAAATCTCGAGTGGTCAAACCTAACAGTCATGAGAGAAATTATCACATATTTTACCAGCTGTTGCAAGGCGCTGACCCGAAGATGCGGGAAAGCTTGCTCTTAGCAGATTTGCGCATCGAAGATTTTGCATACACCAGAGACGGTAATGACAGCATCGCCGGTGTGTCTGACGTGGATGAGTGGAATGCGCTGATCGAGGCATTCCACGTCATGAAGTTCTCCGAAGAGGACCAGATGTGTATTCTTCGGACGGTTGCAGCTGTACTCCATCTGGGGAACATCACTATTGTCAAAGAAAGCCTGCGCGCAGACCAAGCTGCCTTGGGCCCCGACTCACTGAATAGCGTCGAGAGGGCTTGCCAGTTGCTAGGGATAGCGTCAGAGCCCTTTGTGAAAGGGCTGCTCCATCCGAGGGTAAAGGCAGGCCGGGAGTGGGTGGAAAAGGTCCAAACTCCAGAGCAGGTTCGACTGGCGCTGGACGCTCTCGCCAAAGGTATTTATGAGCGAGGCTTCGGGGATCTTGTCAACCGCATCAACAGTCGGTTAGATCGCAGTACCATGGCTGGCGACGATAGCTTCTTCATCGGCGTCCTGGATATTGCTGGTTTCGAAATTTTCAAGAACAACAGCTTCGAGCAATTGTGTATCAACTACACTAATGAGAAGCTGCAGCAGTTCTTCAATCATCACATGTTTGTCCTTGAGCAGGAAGAGTATGCACGGGAGCAAATCGAATGGCAATTCATCGACTTTGGCAAAGACTTACAACCGACCATTGATCTGATCGAGCTGACAAACCCTATTGGTATCTTCTCATGCTTGGACGAGGACAGCGTTATGCCGAAAGCCACAGATCGCTCGTTCACAGACAAACTGCATTCACTCTGGGACCGAAAGTCCCCCAAATATCGCGCCTCCCGCTTGAGTCAAGGGTTTGTTCTGACACATTACGCTGCTGAGGTAGAATACGACACCGAGGGATGGCTTGAGAAAAATAAGGACCCTCTGAATGACAACGTGACACGCCTCCTTGCACGATCGCGAGACAAACATGTCGCCAGCCTCTTTTCTGACTGCGGCGACCCGGATGAGGATAATGACCTTCCAAAAAGCAGAGTCAAGAAAGGTCTTTTCCGCACCGTTGCACAGCGGCATAAAGAGCAGCTGGCAAGTCTCATGAACCAACTCCATCAGACCCATCCTCATTTCGTTCGTTGTATTATACCCAATCACAAGAAGCGTCCCAAGATGCTAAATGCCCCCCTTGTCCTAGACCAGCTACGCTGCAATGGTGTCCTCGAAGGTATCAGAATTGCTCGTACAGGATTCCCGAATCGCCTCTCATTTATTGAATTCAGACAGCGATATGAAGTTCTCTGTCCTAACATGCCCAAAGCGTATATGGATGGGCAGAGTGTCGCCCACAATATGCTTCAAAGACTCGGTCTAGATCCGGCCTGGTACCGTGTAGGTCGGACAAAGGTCTTCTTTCGAGCGGGTGTCTTGGCCGAGCTCGAAGAACAACGGGATCAGCTCATTCGGACCATCATGACTCAATTCCAATCTGCAGCCAGAGGGTTCATCCAGCGGCGGATTTCAAACAAACGCCTATACCGGGCGGAGGCTACGAGAATCATCCAGCATAACTTCCAAATCTATTTAGATATGAAGCGGAATCCCTGGTGGCGGTTATTCTCGAGGATGAAGCCTCTCCTGGGAGAGACACGTACTGCTAATGAAGTCAAGAAACGGGATGAAAAGATTAAAGAGCTGGAAGCCAAGATGAAGCAGGACATTGCTGAACGCCAGAAGCTTGATGAAGAAAGACGGCGTACGGAGATTGAGATTCACAAAATCCAACACATACTTGAAAGCGAACGAGCCTTGGCTCTTGACAAAGAGGAGATCTTCAAAAGACTGCAACTTCGTGAGATCGAGTTAACCGAAAAATTGGCTGGAGCCATCGCGGACCAAGAGAGTCTTGAGGACCAACTAGATACTCTAATAGCCGCAAAGAAAAAGGCTGATGAGCAGCTTAGCCATCGCATCACGCAGCTTGAACAAGCCGGCGAGATCATTGAACGGCTTGAAGCCGAGAAACGGGATCTGCAGGCCCGCCTCGACGTCCTTGACCGTCAACTGGAGGAGGCCCAGAGCTCTGTCGCCGAGCAGGAAGCCCGCGTTAAGGAGCTAGGCCAGGAAATAAAAATGCTCCAAAGCCACCTGAGTCTCAAAGACCGCAAAATTCAAGACCTGGAAGCGAAATTGCTCAAAACGGACCAGGATCTTGACATCAAGCTTGCAAGAACATCCAAAGACCTGGAGCAGTCGAAAAAGCAGATCAAGGACCTGGTCGAGGAGAATCGTTCTATCCGGCAACAGATTTCTGATCTCTCCTCCACATCTACTGGATATGAGGAAATGCTCAGGCGAAAAGAAAGTGAAATTGCTGTTCTGCGAAATGACGCCAAGAAGCATCAAGAAGAGAAGGAACACTTAGAGGCGGAAAAAGCATCCCTGTCAACACGCCATGATAATATGCAGAAGCGACTTCGAGAGCTGCAGGCAGAGTCGGACGCAATGAAGTCGGAAAAATGTCAGCTTGAACGTGAGGTCGCCGACGTCAAGAAGCTTCTTGAAGAGAAAATTTCTGAAGATGCAGAGGCTGGCGAGAGTAGGAAACTGCTTGAGCAGCAGATACACGACCTGAAGAATCAACTATTTCAGGCACAGGCCGAACTCAGCCGTGAGCGACAGTCGAGAGACGACGTCCAAATGCTTGCTGAGCACAATCTTGCGGAGCTCAGGGACAAGTACGCCTCCTTGAATGAATCAAAGATCATCATAGAGAAAGAGATGTACATTCAGCAGGACACGCTTCGCCGTGCGACTGAAGCGCGAGTAGCTGCGGAGCAGTCTCGCAAGGAGCTCCAGACCGAGCTGATTAAACTTCGCGATAGATTCACCAAAGTGGAGAGTGCCCGCTTGAACGCAGAGGCTGAGATCGAGCGAAATGTGAAGAAGCAGGCCAAC